TCTGCTAGGCGCTGAGGCGCCAACCGGTGGCCTAACAGGGCCTACCGGGAGAAAAAGGCCTGGCCTTTGGCAAGGCCGGCCTGGGTACCCCCTGAACCAGTATGTAGGGCCTGTGAAGGCTGTCTCTTATACACATCTAGATGTGTATAAGAGACAGCCCCAGCGTCGCGCCCCAACAGCCCCGCCCCTGCGCCCACCCTGGCTTCCGCCCATTCAACCCTGCCGTGGGGTCAGCCACCCCGTGCCCGCCCCCGCGCCCCACCCCTGCACCACCCCGACCTCCGCCCCCACCCCTGCAATCCCGCCCGGCCCCGTGTCGACCCTGCCCCAGGCCCCGCCCCCAGGGCCACCCCGGCCTCACCAGGGGTGGGTGTGGCCCTGAGAGTGGGCCTGAGGTGGGGTAAAAATCAGGTTTTGCAGTGAAGGGCCAGGGGGTGCAGGGCCCGCTGCGCAACCTCCACAATTTTTTTTTTTTTCTGATTTATTTTCTGGGCTACCAGCCAGACCGCCCGGGTCACCCTATTTTTCCGTGCGGCCTGGCCGTGCAAGGATTAGGGAAGGTCCCAGCAAAAAAAAAAAAAAAAGAAAAGAAAAGAAACTATGGTATGCAGAAAAATAAACGGAACAACTTTTGCCTCAGGGTCACATCTAAGTTCAACTAAGTTTAAATAAAAAAATAATTTTATTTCTTATTTTTTTATTTGTTTTGGCCCGGCCGGGCAAGTGGTCCTGGGCAACTCTGGTAGCCTAGTTAAAATATATATATACATTTTGGGGGGAAAGGGGTCTGGAGCTGGGGTTGGGGGTGCCCACCCCCAGACCCCCGGACCCCCGGACCCCCGGGAGCGGGGCTCGACAACCCTGCCTAAAGCACATCATATCACACAAAAAGATTAAAAAACAAGAAAAAAGCAAAAATTCAGGGAAAGATGGCAGTTTCGGTGAAAAAATTCACCGAAAATGACACCACCTATTAACCATTAGTGCTCATCTTGGTGGAATAGGGGCTGTTGTGGTGAAAATTCAAAACACACGCACACACCCTTTCACGCACAAACAGAGTCCGATAGAACAGTCTGGCACAGTCATGCTTTTTCTGTGGAGTTGTGTATAGCAAACGTGACAACACACACACACACACACACACACAGAGAGAGAGAGAGAGAGAGAGAGAGAGAGAGAGAGAGAGAGAGAGAGAG